AACAACAACAACAACAACTGAGTTAATAAGGAGCCCTGGTGGTTCTGTGCATTAGGCGTTGGGCTACTAAACTCAAGTTCCGTGGTTTAAATCCACCAGCCACTCTGAGAGGAGAAAGATAAGGCTGTCTGTTACCGTAAAGATTTATAAGCTTGGTGATCTTATAAACGGTGGCTGTGACTCAGAATCAACTCAGTGGCAGTGGGTACTGAGTGAATAAATGGGATATGGCAAAAACAGAGGAAGTGGCACCAGATTATTGAAGTATGAAACACTCTACAATGAAGTGACAGAATTCTTTACTGTTAGAGTCACAATTTTCAGCAAGCTGTAGTGTACAAATACCAATAAATATTTTCTGTTCTCTCCCTTGGCCCAATAAGTCACAGGATTGGATCTTGGTATGTAAGAGATAACCAAAACAAAATACAAAAACAGTTGCCATCGAGTTCATTCTAACTTCTGGTAACTCCGTATGTATCACTGAAAACTACTGGGTTCTCAATGGCTGATTGTTCAGAAGTAGATCTACAGGGTGTTCTTCCAAAGTGCCTCTGGGGTGGATTTGAACTTCCAACCTTTCAGTTAGCATTGGAGTGTGTTAACCATTTGCACCACCTAGGGACACTGTAAAAGACTTGAAGCCTCAGTCTTGGTTCTGCTACTTACTCTAGCTGCGTGACTCTGGAAAAGTCTCTTCCTTTCTTTGAACCTTCCCCTCCCTGTCTTTTGTATAGTAATGGGCATAATGAAACATGTTTTCACTGCCTCACCAGAGAATAAGGTTATGGATCACGAGAGAATGTCTTTTACAAGTAGTAAAGCACAGGGACGTATGTAGGGATGAGGTGACATGCTTGTGTATGTGTTTAAGTCTATGTGTAAATTAGCAATTATGATTGTTAGTAAAAGTTAATATATGTGTTTATTTATTTATTTCCTTTGTTTACCATTGTTGCATGTTTGGCACAGGCTGAAGACAAGAAAGTCTCAGAGAAGACTCTTCAGACTCCACTTTTGCCTTCTCCAATAGCTGATCATGTCAAGTGCAACATTTTGAAAGCCCAGTTGGAGAATGCTTCCAGAGTGAATGCCCAGGTGTGTGGAGCAGATACATTTCTTTGATTTTATTTGATCAAGATTTCCTTGATGCCATATAGAAGAAAGGGATGCTGGGTTAATTAGGTTCAGTCAAGAAGAGGAGCAGTTTTCACGGGGTTTTCAATGGATGAGTTTTCAGAAGCAGATTGACAAGCTTTTCTTTAGGTGTGCCTTTAGGTGTACTCAAATCTCCAGCCTTTTGGTTAACAGGCAAGCATGTTAACCATTTGTAGCACCCAGGAACAAATAATTATTAACTCATATGAAACTTTTAATTTGGTAAGTGAAAGAACAAAAAGAGAAGTCTAAGGCAGTGGTTTTCAAACCTGAATGCCCATATAATAGTCACCTGGAGAACTCGTCCTCACCACAGGGACTCAGTAAGTCAGGGTGCTGATGGTGGTGGTTATGTGCCGTAAAATTGGTTCTGACTCATAGCAATCCTGCACAGGGTTTCCGAGGCTGTAAATCTTTATGGGAGCAGAACGCCTCATCTTTCTCTCTTGGAACAGCTGGTAGTTTCGAACTGCTGACCTTGATGTTAGCCTGACTCTAATCACTATGCTACCAAAGCTCCTAAGTCAGGGTGGGATCTGTGAATTTGCATTTCTAGCAAGGTCACAGCACCACACTTTGAGTGACACTAAGTCCTAGTGTGGCGCTATGGGTTAATGTGCCAGAAGGCAAAGTCATTTAAACTGCAAGGTCTACGGTTCAAGCTCACCAGTCACTCCTTGGAAAGTCTATACAGAGTCAGTCACTATGGGTTAGAACCGACTTGATGACACTTAACAACAACAACAACAATGTACCATAGATAGTGAGCACAGGAAGCATCTGCCAACCCATGTAGCAAGCATAGGGCTGAGTGAAGAAGGAGGGAAAGATGTAATTATTAAAATGTAGAAGCTTAGAGAAGATACCACATGGAGAAACTCAGATATCTGTGAAGGGGTCACTGCTCACCCACTCCTGTGAGTTCTATACTAGAACGATATGCCCCTCAGGAACAGGACCCAGATTCTGAGGAGAGGTGCTAGCTAGCTGATGCTGGTATGTCTGAACTAGATACCATGAAGCTAGGTCTGCAAGTGATGGAAAACTGTAATGTGGATTCAGCTGTTGCTGCAGGAGGAAGAACTACTGCTGACGTGAAGTCATGAGACTGGCAACCTCCCAGGGGAAGGAAGCACATGGCAAGGAGCAAGCTCAGCTCTCACTAGAGCCCCCAATCAAAAGAACCTATCATGAGCCCCTTGTTGTTGTTAAGTGCCACAAAGTCGGTTCTGGGAGAGGAGATTTGCAGGGTCCCAGTGTCAGTGGAGGATTAAAGAGTGGATGAGAGATTGACTGGTACAAAGCCCCCACTTGTAGCCATAGCTATGACCAATGGTTGATCATTCCACTCCGAGCCTAAATGCAGACTCAGGACCCTTCTCCACATGATGTTCCAAGGAGATGCCACCAGCTCAAGTGGAAACCCATGTGCCATTTCTACCCTGGAAGCATTCTATTAAAAACTACCATTTGTATATGATTTCTTTTAAAATGTAGATAACTATCTTCTTCTCTTCTTCATTCCTTATAATCCTAATAGCTCTACCTATGCTACCTGTTGTTAGGTGTCCTTGGGAAGGTTCTAATTCACAGTAACCCTGTAAAGGGTTTCCGAGGAGCAACTGGTGGGTTTGAACTGCCGACCTTGTGATTAGCCATCAAGTGCTCATCCTATAACGCCACACCAGGACTCATGTTACCTAGGACAATGTGAATATTCAGTCATTTCTTAGAGTACTACTTCACTTACACATATAGCAATCTGAATCATTTAGGTCCTTCAGAACCTACCATGAAAGACACGAGAAAACTTACCAGTTTCGGGCTTGTGATCTAAACATGCCACAGTAAGGTATAAAACTTCAGAATCAGACAGCCTGTGTTTGAATCTCCAGTCTGTTAATTATCATCAATGTCACCTTAAGCTTATTTGTAATTTGTGAGGCTCAATTTTCCTATGTGTAAAATGGGGATGAGTCAGTTCCAACCCATAATGACCCTGTATAGTGTTTCCAAGGAGCAGCTGGTGAGCTTGAACTGCCAACCTTGTGGTTCAAACCAACTTTGCAGTCCAGTGCATTAGCCCAGAGCGCCACACCAGGACTCCATTTTTAAAACATACTGGTGTTGGTGGCTGTGTGCCGTGGAGTCGGTTCCGACTCATAGCGACCCTGTACAGGGTTTCCGAGGCTGTAAATCTTTATGGGAGCAGAAAGCCTCCTCTTTCTCCCGCGGAACAGCTGGTAGTTTTGAACTGCTGACCTTGCGGTTCACAGCCTATGAACCTTGCGGTTCATAACCACTACGCTACTATCCCAGAACAAATAAAACTGATATATATTTCACAGTTTACAAAGTTGATATCATGCATTTAAAAGTTCTATCACGTTCCCAATACCCCAATGCTTCATGTTGTCTGGGGAGAGCTCATATTTTTGCTCCATTGAAGAAATGAAGTGTATTAGAAATACTTTGGTAAAATGTAGAGCAAAGGTAAGGAAGGAGTAAGAATCAAAAGAAAAGTTCTTGGTAAAGCAAACCTTTTTGAGGACATGGAGGCAGAAAAGAAGGGGACTTGTGAATCCAGTAATTTTAGAGCATTGTTTGCCAAGAAGTATCTCTGGTGGCACACTGGTTAAGTGATTGGCTGTTAACTGAAAGACTGCTGGTTCAAACCCACTAGCAACTTCCCGGGAGAAAGGTGTGGTAGTCTGTTTCTGTAAAGATTCACAACCTTGGAAATCCTATCAGCAGTTCTACTGTGTTCTACAGGGTCACTGTGAGTCTGAACTGACTTGAAAGCCAGGTGTTAGAAAGAGCACTGGTCTCGTCAGATGTTCCCCAACTGCTTAGGAAATGCTCCACCCTGAATCCTCTGAGAAATCATAATGTACATGAGCATCTCAGAGACTCCAAGAAGTCTTACAGGAAAGAAATGTGATTGACTTGTTTCCTTCCTAATTGACCAGAGAACCCTTTTGTAACGTAATTTCTCTGACACCTGTAGAAGTGGTGTTCATGGGAATATGGGAACGTACTTTGGGAAGTACTGGTTTAGAGTGTGTGTTGTGATGGGAGTAGATTGAAGGAGGAAGGGAGGTGGTTGATGCATAGTCAAGCATAGTCGTAGGGGCTTACGTGTTATTTCCAATTAGTATTGATGCAGAATAAGGGTGTCAGGAAGGGAAGCAGAAGTCAAGCAGGTTGACTTGACTGTTGACTGCCTTTTGCCAGCGAGTCTACTCTGACTCACAGCAACCTATAGTACAGAGTAGAACTGCCAAGGCTAGGAGCTCAGTGGGTTCCATGGTTAAGTGCTTGGTCACTAACTGAAAGAGCCACAGTTGGAGCTCACCAGTTGCTCTTTGGGAGAAAGCTGTAGCAATCTGCTTTCAGTTAGCATCCCAGTGCTTAACCACTGAACAACCAGGACTCTTTAACTATCTGTTCCTGGCTCTAAACAAGGCTTTGATCAGAAAGCAGGCTGGATACCTGGACAACCCTGGCTAGTTAATAATGCGATAACCTCCAGCCTATATCCTTGAAATCTTTGTTCACTGTGTATTTAGAACAAAGACTGAGCTCTGTATGTTTGAGGTGGTTACGAGAACCCTAGGCTGTTCCATCTCTCCTTGACCTCCAACAGGGGATCAGCTGGCTTGGCTGGCTGAGTGAGTATCCCCTGTTTTCCCACCATTCTTAGTGAGACTCACCAAAGGAGGAGGATACATGTCTATCAAAAGCATATGATGTAATACCTCCCAAACTTGTTAAGCTGATGTGAAAGGGCAGATCTTGAATTCCTTTGTAAACTCTAAGTGATATGTGAGCATATTGCTGACTATTATTTCTGATGTGAAATGAGGCTGGGAAGTGAAACTGTGGGCTTGGCTTTTCCCACACTGTCTCCTTCTCATTCATGTAAGAGTTTGAGTTGGCACATAACAGGTCCTCTGTCAAAGTAAGAAAGAAAGAAGTGGTTGCATTTGATTGTCTTCATTCCCATGGTGGGGAATGACTGAAGACAACATATGTTAACTTGTATAAATACCAGAGTAAAGTTGGTTATTAACTGAGTACTTGATGAATTCCTTCTTGGATTCACCTTCCCATAACTATATAAACTTTTGAATGTAGGAGACTGGAAAACATTTTTGCATGCCAAGATGTTCAGGTTTGACTAACCTGTTTTCTTTAACAGGTTGGAAAAGAGGAATCAACATTTATAAATATCAATAAGAAATCCAGTCTTCAGGATGCTAATGTAAGGTCTGTTGCTTCTTGTTCGAATGGGGAAACCATACTGTCTGTATCATCAACATTATCCTCAAAACGCTGCCCACAAGGACATTCACTAATAAAATTAGAAAGGAAAAATAAAACAAATACTTTGAGATTGAATAGGTAGAAAGACTGGTTTAAATAATTTCCTTTAAAGCTCAAAAATGCTGCTTATTCTTCTTGTGATAATTCTACCTAATGCACTGATGAAGAACTTACTCTGGATTGTTTTGTGGTTTTCTCTCAAGCTTATATGTCTGTCTTGGTTCTTCCTCTGCTTAAAATCCTTTTAATGCACAATCTAGCCTCTGCTCACACTCATGTCCCCACTGAGCCTATCTCTCTCTTCTTGGCCCACTGCCAAGACTCTGACCAAGCTACTTGCCAATACTGGAACCACATTTGTTCCCTAAAGCTTCTAGGCCTCCCCTGTTCCAGAGGGACTCACGGACAACAGAAATGCTTCCCCTCTCAAGTGAGAAACAAGTAGAGATGGGGGAGTCCTGTTGCCATCTTGGTGGGAAGCTAAGACCACTGCATCAGGGTGTGTTGTTCAAAATGCAGATTAGTGGCTCCTACTCCAGAACCTTTGGAATGTTGGGGTGAGTTTTGGTGTGGTGACTTAGAACTGTGGTTTCATCAAGTGCCTGGGATAATCTACGAACAACTCCCTGGGGAATGCTTTTAACCAGTTACTATTTGCCATTGAATGGATTCCAACTCAAGGTGATCCATGTGTAATAAAATAAAACTGTGCTTCATAGGGCTTCAAGGGCTGATTTTTCAGAAGGAAACCACTAAGCTTTTCTTCTAAGATACCTCTGAAAGGACTCCAACCACCATCCTTTCAGTTAGGAGCTAATCAAGTTAACCCTTTATACGCCCAGGAACTGGAGAATTCTTATACTATATGGTAAAAATAAAAACAAACATTTCTTTTTATCACCTTATGATCCCCATATCCATGTTTTGGGTATATATGTCTCATACTTCATAGACACATACCAATTTTCAAAACTTTAGTCCATTTCTTCTCATTCCAATTCACCCCGTTGTGTTTTCAATCTTGGTTAATACTGGCATTATTGTCTACCTGTTACCCAATCCTGTAACCTGGGAGTCTTGGCCTTCCTCTACATCACACCCTCATCTAATTGGTCTCCAACTCCTGCCAATTTTATTTCCATCTTCTCTCCCACACCCACTTTCTCCTCTTTATGACCACAATCCCTTTCAACCTCAGACCCTCAGCTTCTCTCTCCTGATCCATGACTGACTGCAACTGTCTTTTCATTTGCTCCTGGCCTGTTTTCATCAGTGTCCTCTGTGCTGCTCCAAGGCCCTTTCTAAAATGCAAGTCTGACAATGCCACTTCTTTGGTCAAAGACTTTAGTGACTGTCATTGCTTTCAGTGTAAGTTCCTGAGCCCAGTGCCTAAGGCCCCTCATAACCTTGCCCATGTGACTTCCCTCTAGTCCCAGTCCTCTGTTTTTCTTCCGGAACCCCACACATCAGCAGTTCCATCGGCCTTGTGTCCTCCATTCAGTCTCCACTCTGTGTCCCAAGTTACTGATCTTCCTTCTGTCTGGTTAAGGGCAAACCACTCTGTGAAGCCCCCCAGTCTCAGCCATTCCACTTAAGCAGTTATGTGCTCCCCCTTAGACTGTGAGCTTTTCCAGGAACCATGTTCAGCTCACTCTGGGGACCAAGCTTGAAGAAATCAGAAACCTAGAAAATGTTGACTCCGGTTCCTTACCTTCTTATTCACGTGTTCACTCAAACTTTTATTAGGAACTGACCATGGCTGATCACCATGTTAGGCTAGGCATGGAGTAGAAGAGAAAATGAGGACCCAGAAAAGTTAATTCACTTGTCAGAGGTCCCTTGCTAAGGACTACAACTTGATTAGATATCCTTTTAGTCCCAAAAGATAAAAAAAAAATTTTTCAATGAAATGAGTCATGGTCACTACAAAAATATACTAACCTTTTCCTTAAAATACCATTTTGAGTAGTATCAGTTTGTTTTCTGGTGTAATTTCTTGAGGAAATATAAAGGTGAAAGTTAATGTTTAGCATTTCACATGTACAATGTTGTTAAGTGTTGGCAAGTGAGTTCCGACTCATAGTGACCCGATACAGGGTTTCCAAGGAGCCACTGGTGCATTTAAATCACCAACCTTGTGGTTAGCAGTCCAGTACTGATCCACGTGTACATATGTACACTTGTGCACAGAATTTAAATATGCTATAGAGCAAGAAGTCTTAAAGGTCTTCTGATTATGTATTTTTCACATTAAATGCCCTGTGGTCCTTTCTGTTTTCTTCTTATTATTTAAAAAAAAATAAGAAATGTTTTCTTTATCCAAACATGTATACAGGAGGTGCTTTAGAACAGCATGAGCCTCCTGTTTTAGGAGATGGAGACAGGTAGAAAATGTTTTTAGTTTTATAAGTCCAAGAAGGTAAAGTTTTTAATGCTTTAACATTATATTCATTAAGATTGCTAATCAAAATCAACCCCAAGAAACTGACAAAGTAAATGTCTATGAGCCAACTTGATGGGGCTTTGGTCTCAAGATTGTTGTTGTTAAGTGCTGTTGAGTTGTTCCTGACTCAGAATAGGGTTTCCAAGGAGCGGCTGGTGGATTTGAACTGCTAACCTTACGATTAACAGTCCAGTGCTTATCCTTCTGTTTTCTTTTTAAAGTATATTCTATGTTTTAAAATATCATAGCTACTAGATTACTTGAAGTAAAAACTGATTATCCATGTATTTTTCTCCACTCCTTTTTCGAAGAAGAATAGTTCCAGAACTAAACCTGGATAATGGAGGGAGGTTGTTTGGGGCAGGAAATCTTTATTCTGTACCCTAATGATGTGCAATTCCCCTCTTACTGTGTTTTCTTTCCTATGATTTTGCCTTTTTTTTTTTTTTTAATTTCCTATACTATTAATTTTTATGTTTAATAAATAGAGCTGAGAAGAGGAAAAATGAATTTCCTGTTTATAATAACTACTTAGGTACGATTAATTGAGAAAACAGTTCCTATGACTAAAGCAAGATCATCAATATTTTTTATTGATACTGTTCCTTTTTTTATGTATCTATAGAAGTCCCATTGCTATACATGTGGAAACTCCCCAGCCAGCTGTGGAAAAGCCGGAGATCAAGCCTCCCAGAGTGAGGAAGTTAACCAGACAATACAGTGTGTGAGTTCTGTACCGGATGTTTTTCAATGATAAGAACAAAGGCAATATTAATTGTTTGGTCATAAATGCTCTTATTCCCTCACACCATTCCTAGAGTGCCAAAATTCAATTTATTTCAAATTTAGGTCATATTGGGACTCGATCTTTCTCTCAGAAAAAAAATATTAATGTTTGGTATATGTATTCATTAAGGAGCTCTGGTAATGTAGTGGTTACGAATTGGGCTGTGAACCTTAAGATCAGCAGTTCGAAACTACCAGCTGCTCCGCGGGAGAAAGATGAGGTGTTCTGCTCCCGTAAAGATTTACAGCCTCAGAAACCCTTACAGGGTCGCTATGAGTTGGAACCGACTCCACGGCACATAACAACAACAACAACATATGTATTAGTTATCTATGCTGTGTAACAAATGACTCCAGAACTCAGCACACATTTAATATCTCAGTTTCTGTGAGTGAGAGTCTGGCCACGGCTTAGTTGTGTCTCTGCGCCTCTCACAAGGTGAATCCAGGCATTAGCCAGGGCTGTGGTCCCCACTGGCGATTTACTGGTGTGGCATTTGACAGGATTCAATTCTTTGAGGGTTATTGGATTTGGCTGGCTAGAGGCTGCCTTCAATTCCTTGCCAGGTGGGCCTCTTCAGCTTTCTTTCTTTTTTTTTAAAAATATTTTTGTGTGTGCTAAAGTCTTAGTGGCACAGTGGTTAATTCCTCAGCTACTACCCCAAAAGTTGGCAGTTTGATTTCATAAGCAGTTCTCCCAGAAAAAAATGTAGCAGTATGTTATCTTATAGCTTCTAGCCTAGGAAACACTATGGGGCAGTTTTACTATGCCCTATAGGGTCACTGTGAGTGAAAATCAGCTTGACAGCACCTAACAAAAACAACAAAGTGTGTATATCATCACATTTGTTAACTTAATCATCTTAAGTATTTAATTGCTGTTGTTAAGAGCTGTCAAATCTGTTCTGACTCAGCAACCCTGTAAAGGGTTTCCAAGTAGTGGTTGATAGGTTTGAACCATCAACCTGGTTAGCAGTCCCGTGATTTACCTGCAGTGCCACACCAGTATATAATTGTTGTTGTGAAGTGCCGTCGAGTTGGTTCCGACCCATAGCGACCCTGTATAGGGTTTCCGAGGAGCAGCTGGTGAGCTTGAACCGCCAATCTTGCAGTTCAAACGGCTTTGCAGTCTGGTGCCTTAGCCCACAGCTCCACACCAGTGGCATTAATTACATTCCCAATGTTATACCACCACAATCTATTTGCCAAACTTTTCATCACTTCAAACAGAAACTGTACTGACTGAATGATCGTTTTTCATTCCTGTCTCTTCCACCCTGCCCTTGGTGACCTCTGACCGGCTCTCTGACTCTGCATTTGTCTATTTTAGATATTTCATATAGTTGGGATCATACAGTCTTTGTGTCTGATTAATTTCACTTGGAACCCTGGTGACATAGTGGTTAAAGCACTTAGGTACTAACCAGAAGGTCAGCTGTTTTGAACACAATAGACATTCCACGGTAGAAAGACGTGGCAGCCTGCTTTCATAAAGATATACAGCCTCGGAACCCTATGAGGCAGCTCTTCTCTGTCCTACAGGCTCCCTATGTGTTCGAATCCACTGGATGGTAATGGATTTATTTCACTGAACACAATGTTTTCAAGGTTCATTCCTGTTGTAGTATCTATTAGAACTTGCATGACTTTTATGACAATAATGGATATTTCATAATTTGTTTATCCATTTATCTGTTGATGGACACTTGGGTTGTTTTCACCTTTTGCTATTGTGAATAATATTGCAGTGAACATTGGTGTGCAAGTATCGGAGTCCCTCCTTTCAATTCTTTTGGATAGACATTGTTGTGGGATGTGGTTTTGTTCCGTGGAGTCAGTTCCGACTCTTAGCGACCCTTCACAGGGTTTCCAAGGCTGGAAATCTTTATGGGAGCAGAAAGCCTCATCTTTATGGAGTTCAGAAACCCCAATCAGGGAATGGGATGGTGAATCCAACAGATTCCTGTCTGTACTCATGTAACTCATGTCTCCTGTACACAAAGCAATTTAAAAAATTCATGAAAAATTTCCATTGTCTTTTTTCCCCCCATGATCTTTTAAGTCCATTTTTCCACTATTTTTGACTCCCTTGTATAATGCTGTTATGTGCCCTTAAGTCATGAACAATAGAATGAAACACTGCCTGGTCCAACACCATCCTCACAATTATTCTATTTGACCCCATTGCTTGTATGTTGGTGGTGGTGGTTATATGCCGTGGAGTCGATTCCGACTCATAGTAACCCTGTACAGGGTTTCTAAGGCTGTAAATCTTTATGGGAGCAGAAAGCCTCATCTTTCTCCTCCAGAACAGCTAGTAGTTTCGAACTGCTGACCGTGAGGTTTGCAGCCCAATTCGTAACCACTACGCATATGTTGTTGTTGTTAAGTGCTGTTGAGTTGATTCCGACCCATAGCAACCCTGTATAGGGGTTCCGAGGAGCAGCTGGTGAGTTTGAACTGCCGACCTTGCAGTTCAAACGCATATAGCATAGTACATATATAGCCTATAACACATACGTCTTGATACCTAAACCAACTGTCATTGAGTCATAGGGATTCTGACTCATATTGACCCTTTATAGGATTTCTGAGACTGTAAATCTTTATGGAGTGACTATTGGTTTTGAACCAGCAACCTTGCAGTCAGCAGCCCAACACCTATCGTATGTCTTGATAATCATAATAAATGACTATGTTACTAGCTTATGTATATACTATGTGGTACCTCTTTTTTTCAGTGGGGACATGGCCCAATTATCCTTCCCCTACCTTATCTATCTATAAAACCACTTGTAGATTATTGTTATTTCAGCATTGTGTATATAATGGTATTTACTTCTGTTGCCTTGATTGTACTTTCTATCTAAAAAGTTTACCCTGTAGCAGTGTATGCCTTGAATCGTGAGCTAGAGCATCCAATCTCATAGATCACAAGTCTCTTGAGTGTTATAGTGCGATCTCTATTTAATTTTATTTGGAACATATTAATGTGAAATACCTCATGGCTCCCAAATGCAGGAAAACCAGTGCTAGTGATAGCAACAAGAAGAGACAGAAGAGAAGTATTGATTTGGAAGTGAAACAAAAGGTTATTAAATAGCATGAAGGTGGAAAATCAGTGGATGCTATTGCTTGTGATTTTGAGCATGACCCACTTGACAACCACATTGATCCTCAAAAACAAACAAAAAATTCTCCAAGCTATTAAAGAAAGGAATGACGCCATGGAAAGCTATAAGGCTGACAAGAGAGACCTATATCAGATGTGAAGAAGCTGCTAATGACAAGGTTTGAGGGCGGTGATGGTTAGGTTTGGTGCCAACTTGATGGGGCCAGGATTCCCAGTGGTTTAGCAGTTGAGATGTAGCTGCCTCCCATGATGTGATGTGACAAACCAATAAGAGGATTAAGGGTGAGGTGTTGTTGTTGTTAAGTACCATCAAGTCAGTTCCAACTCATGGCAACCCTTATAGTGTTTCTAAGGATCAGCTGGTGGATTTGAACCATGGACCTTGTGGTGAACAGTCCAGTGCTTATCCTAAAGAGTGCCAAGTTCAGGGGATTTTTGGGCCCAGAGTTAGCAACATAGCCACAGAGGACTAGAGTGGAGAGTGAAGAGTCTAGCTGATAAGAAGAGAGGGCAGACATACGCACAAGAACACCCACACTTGCAGATAATACCCACTTGACCTGGCTTCAATGACTGGATGATTAGAGCTCAACCAGAAGAAGAAAGAAGAGGGAAAACAGAATAATCTGATGATACAATTTGATGAACTTGACATACACCTATGGAAGCAGTAGCTCAAAAGAGGCAACAAATCTTTACAGCGAGGATCTGTCCCATCCCCTCTGCACACGGAGAGGACAGGGATGGGCAACTTGGACATTGGCTACCCAGAATTGGGGGGGCTACAGAGGTAAGAAGTGACTGGTTTACAATCTTTCAAGAGGGAGCCTAGATCCAGAGGGTGTGGAGCAAGGTAGAATCTCCACTGAGTAGTATCTATTCTGTCTAGTTGGGGCTGATGAAAGGAGATGTGGATAGGTCTCTTGTGATACAATAGTGAATAATTGTTATCAGGACTGATTGTAAGGGCTGGAAATGTAAAAATAGACGTTTTGTGGCAAAGAGAGGGGCGTGATTAACTTTGCAGTCTAGGAGCAGAGGTCCCTGGGACCATCAAGGGAAAAGACTGGAAAATGGAACCCTACCCAGAGAAGCAGTGATGCCAGGTATGGAGGCAGAGACGATGACATGGGGAGATGGAGTGGCTGGGGACTTTGGACCCAGAGAGGAAGAAGGGCTGTGTGCGGACGACCGGGGTGTAGGCTTGTGGGGTATACCCATTGGGTGGTGGATGATGCATGGAGCCGATTGTAACCATGGCAAGGAAACAATATATGATGGGATCAATGTGAAGCTAATGTCCTCCCATGTAAACTATCGCATAATTTACAATAAAGCATTAAAAAAAAAAAAGAGTGCCACACCAAGATTACCCTTAATCCCACCATCACTCTGATCTGATTGGCTGGAGATTCCCAAGGGTGTGGCATGAACTACCTTTTATCTTACAAGAGATAAAACAAGAGAGATTTCAGCAGAGAAGGAGGTGGATTCTGTCTTTTGGACCTGGGGTCCCTGCAATGTGAAGCTCCTAAATCCTAGAGAAGGGTGATTCCAAGGGACATGGAGATCTCCAAGGAATACGGGGGCTTTTCGGAAGTGAAAGGAGCTAAGTTTCCCAACTGCTGGCACTCTGAATTTGGATTTCTAGTCTCCTAAATGGTGAGAGAAAATTTTCTGGTTGTTAAAGTCATCTACTTGGGGTATTTCTGTAACCGCATCCGTAGAGAACTAAGACAAGGAACAACACAAAAGTGACTCTCTCTCAACTCTGGAAATCACTGCTAAGGCACAAAGCCTGTGCA